AGCCTGTCCTGGAACTCACTCTGTAGACCAGGCTGGCCTCGAACTCACAGAGATCCGCCTGCCTCTGCCCCCCGAGTGCTGGGATTAAAGGCGTGCGCCACCAACGCCTGGCGAAAGACGAGCTTTTTAAGCACATGGGATCCTTTGAATTCTTTTTGACTTATGATAAAATATTAGCACCATCAAAGAAATCTTCACAACACACCACGGCAAGAGGAACTTAATATACAGGTCAGTCAACTTCAGTACTTGATAAAGAATTTAAGGTGAGTCACTGTCCAAGCAGAGTTAAAATGCCCTGAAATCTCATGTAAAAATCTGTAGACAGGGGCTAGAGAGATACCAACCTCTGCAAGGGCAGTGTGTACTCTAAAGCACTGACCAGTTTCCCAGCCCTATTTCTGTTTTGTGAGACAGGGCCGTGTGTAGTTCCGGATGACCTCCTCATCCTCCTGACTCTACTTCTCAAGTGCTGGGGTGATAGGCATGTCTGTCTTGGTTCCTTGGTGAACCTTTCACATTCTAGATGATTCTGAAACATGATCAGTTTCCTGGACAACAGATATTGATGATTTAGAGGTGAGTGATATAATACATACAGAAGAAATCTCTAAATCAGAAAGTACTTCCAGGGCCTGAGGAACCAGGATTAAAATAGTCGGTGGTGGGGAAACAGTTACCCTCATTTGGGCCTTCTGATTGTCATTATATTATTTTATTGTTTTTTATTTAAGTTAGAAACAATCTTGTTTCACATGTCAATCCCAGCTCCCTCTCCCTCCCCTCCTCTCCCGCCCTCCCCACCAAGTCCCCCAGTCCCCCACCCAGTCTCCACTCTGATCACCAGGGAGGGTGAGGCCCTCCCCCAAGAGTCCTGGCTGAGAGAGCCTCCCATATTGTGGCATGGGCACTCAAAAGTCTATTGTACACTAGGAGTGAATACTACCCAAGGCCCCATAGATTACCTAGGCCTCCTCACTGACACCCACATTCAAGGGGTCTGGGTCAGTTCCATGCTTTCCATACAGCCATCAGTCTGGAGTCCAAGAGCTCCCCCTTGTTCAGGTCAACTGTTTCTGTGGGTTAAACCAGCCCACTCTTAACTCCTTTGCCCATCAGTTCTCTCTTTCTGACACTGGATTTCAGGAGTTCAGTTCAGTGTTTGTGGGTATCTGCCTCTGCTTTCATCAGTTGCTGGATAAAGGTTCTGTTTCCTAGACTCTCTGTCAGTGGGATTGTATGCTGGCACTCCCCTGATTCATATCTAAAATCTATAAATGAGTGAGTACATACCATGTTTCTCTTTTTGTGACTGGGCTACCTCACTCAGAATGGTTTCTTCTAGTGCCATCCATTTGCCTGCATATTTCAAGATTCCGTTGTTTTTTTTCTGCTGAATAGTACTCCATTGTGTAAATGTACCACATTTTCTCTATCCACTCTTGAGGGGCATCTAGGTTGCTTCCAGATTCTGGCTATTACAAATAATGCTGCTATGAACATAGTGGAACAGACATCCTTGTTGTATGAATGGGCATCTTTTGGGTATATGCCTAAGAGTGGAATTGCTGGGTCTTGTGGTAGACTGATTCCCATTTTCCTGAGGAATCTCCATACTGATTTCCAAATTAGCTGTACAAGTTGGCACTCCCACTAGCATTATTTACTTTTTAAATCTCTTTTGGTTTTTTTTAACTTTTAAATTCATTCTTTGTGGCTTTCACATCATGCATCTCAATCCCATTCATCTCCCCAATCCGTACACATCTACCTTCCGCCCTTGCAACCTCCCCACCAAAATAAAATGAAATGAAATTTAAGAGAAAAGAAAAGGAAAGGAATGGGGAAAAAATCTCATCATGGAAACTGCAGTGTGACACAGAGAGTCACACAGTATACCCTTTAATCCATATGCCTTTACTTGCCAGCGTTCATTGCAAAGAGTCATTGGTCTGGTTCGAGGCCTCTGGTTCCAGGCTGGACCCTCACTGGGACTCCTCTTGAATATGCTGTTGCTGCCCTGTGTTGTGCAGGTCCCGAGGCTTCACGTGCTCCAGCAGGTCATCGATGGGGTGGATGCTACGGTGGGCCAATTCGTAGCCCTGCTGCTGGGCCTGGGTGGTTGCAGGGTTTGTCCGTCCGCTTGCCAGCTCTCCCCAGTCCTCACCACCAGGGTGAGCTCTCCAGCTTTGCCGTGGGTAGCTCACGCTGCAGCATGGGGGAAGGGGTAGTGCCGGTTCTCCTGGTTCACAACCCCAGGGCTGGCTCACCCACACCTACAACCACAAGGGCCAACTCTACTTTGTTGCCCAGGCAAGGTCGCTCTCCAGTGTTGCAGCCGGTGAGGGGCAGGGCCAGCTCTTCCACCTGTCACAGACCACAACTGCAGCAGACACGGGCCTTGGCAGCATCTGAGGCCCAGACATCACCATGGCCCAAGGTGGGAAGTAAGCCACCTAGCCATTCCTCACTGCCTTCACCTCTTCAGACCCACAGGACAAGAACCATTCTCTCTCTCTCTCTCTCTCTCTCAATCTCATACCCCACAATATATTTGCTCACCACAATAGTGCTGGTCAGGTCCATGTTTTCTTCTAGCCCCGGGCAGGCATGTGGGTCTCCTTCTCCTGCAGTCATAAATTTTCTTAAAGCACTATGCAAACAAAATGAAACTTATCTTAAAGCTGGAGAGATGGCTCAGTGGTTCAGAGCACTTATTGCTCTCCCAGAGGGACCAGGTTAGATTCCCAGCACTCAAGGTGCAGCTCACAATTCTCTATAGCTCCAATTCCAGGAGAGCAGATGCCCTCCTGTGGCTCTCATGAGTACTGCATGTGGTTCACAGACATACATGCAAGCAAAACACCTATGCACTAAAAAAAAATGTATTAACAGTGACACATTCTAAAGACAAAACTTTTAAAGACATAATTTAATTTAAAAAATAAAACTTTGCCTCTGTATCTTGCAGCTGAGTATGAATGCAAGCTATAAAGCCATACATAGACCTTAAATTGAAACTGACAGGCCTGGAAGGGGTGTTACTTCTGAAAGCGGACAGTTTTCAGAAGTTGCTATACTCAAGGTGACCACAGTCATATGGGTGGATACTTTTGAGAATGAGAGGAAGTGCTGCTAGTATTTATATCAGGACAGGAGTAAGGCCAGGACTGTCCCTGGCAAGTCAGAATGGAGGATTGTTGGGGCTATATAGCCACAAAACCAACCACACCCTTGTGCGACCTGGTCAAGGCCTTGCACTCATGAACCCAGCAGCCGTGGTTACCTGTGTAAAATCAGGCCAGCCAACTTGCCAGCCTCGAGGGAAAAAGGTTCCCACGCCATTTGCATATGGTTAGCACTAACTGCACTCTGTGTTTTCCCCACCCCACTATCTGGACTGTGTTCGATAAAACACAAATAAAGGGGCTGGAGAGATGGCTCAAGGGTTAAGAACACCGATGGGGGAAGTCCTTCTGTGTATACGTTTGTCCGATTGGTTGGCAAATAAAACACTGTTGGCCAATAGGGAAACAAGATAGGTGGGGACTGGGAGTCGAGGAGGATTCTGGGAAATGTAGTAAAGAATAGAGAGTCGCTATGTGATCCTGGGAGGGGAGGGTGCAAGTCTGGCGATCTCGGTAAGATAAGTCCTTATAATAAAAATATATATATATTAGCAATCATGGGTTAATAATTAAGTCAGAGCTAGCCATTAAGAAACCATAGAAAATGGCCAACAGCTTCATAATTAATATAGTGTCCATGTGTTATTTGGGGGCAGAGAGAGCGGCGGGACCCAGGCAGCTGGTGGGAAAGAATACGTTGGTTACAGAACACTTTATTTGGCTCCCAGTACCACACAGCGACTCACGGCCATTTGTAATTCTAGTTCCAGGGTATTGTAACCCCCTTTCTGACCTCCATGGGAGCCATGGCATGGACATGGTGCACATACAAACATGCAGGCAAAAAACCCTTACATGTAAAAATAAACAACTATTGAAAAATATAAATAGCTGCATGGTGGTGGTGGCGCGTGCCTTTAATCCTAGCACTCGAGAGGCAGAGGCAGGTGGATCTGAGTTCAAAGCCAGCCTGCCTTTTACAGAGCGAGCTCCAGGCCAGCCAGGGCTACACAGTGAGAGAGAGAGGAAAAAAAACCCAAAACTAGAAGCAAAAAATAAACAATATATATGATGAGATAATAGAATTGGGACACGTTGGAAGGATTAGTGGCAAGTAAGATGAGTGACCGGGGTGTGGGTCAAGGTAGAACTGCACACGTATGAGATTATCGATGAATAAATAAAATTATTTTTTAATTAAAAATATCAACTAGCAATCCGTGGTCTGGGCGGCCGTGAACAGGAGGAAGGGAATGAGCGGGCACAAGGGGAGTAGAGGTGGCGTTGATGTAGAAGGAGGGACTAACGGAGGGGAGAAAAGGGGTGACTGAGAATGAGCAGCGGCTTGTGCTGCGGAGGAGGCGATGAGTAAGAACCAAGTATTTTGAAATTGCCCTCACGGGAGCGGGGGGCTTGGCTCAGTAGTAGAGAGCTTGCATAGCAAGGGAAAGACCCTGAGTGTTCAGGTCACCACCAGAGAGGGAGAACGTTTGGTTTTTAAAGGCGGGGGAGAGAGGCCAGGGTGTGGGGTGGGGAGTGGAGAGGAAGGGAGAAGCATTGTGCTCCTGGGGGGCAGAAGAGCAAGAGGAACCGTTAAGAAGTGAAGCGTTGAAGCTAATGCTGACACCGGCCGAGGCTTTCCTAGTCAGGTAAAAGAAACAGGTTGAACAAGCTGGGGGTCTGAGTACAGAGACCGAGGAAGAAGCAGGCACGCCAAACAGGCTCAGAGACAGTGAGAAAACCCAACAGGAGACAGGAGGGGCAAGTGAGAGATCTCCTGGGGAGGGGGCAGGGCGGGGCGGGGGCGGGGCGGGATGGGGTGGGGGTGGAGCCGGGGTTAGCACACCTTCCTGGAGCAGCCCCACTCCCTGCCTGCAGCTGAGTGGACTTTGACACTTGGTTCTTCTGTTCTCAATCAACTGCTTTGGAAAGATATGCTTAATTGGTTCAAGGTCCAGGAACCTTGGTCCACTTTATAGGAAGTGTGAGCTCACAGCATCTGTTTGCTTTTGGGAGACAGTGAGGTAGGACCATCTGTCTTTTCTCTTTACAATATTCCCCATTTAAGTTTTTTCGGTTGTTCATTTACTTTACCCCACTCTTCATTTTGTTCTTCCTTGGTCTTCCAATCGAGAGAGTCTTTAACCTCTGCTTCCTGTTTCATTTTCTCTTCCCAGCACCAGTGCCTGCCTTAGACTTCTGGGCTTTCACATGCCAAATTAGCCCTGATGCTCCATCATGGCGAGCAAACTACAGGAGGAGGTGACCTGCCCCATCTGCCTGGAGATTCTACAGGAACCTGTCACCATTGACTGTGGGCACAACTTCTGTCAGGAATGTATCAGCCAGGTTGGGAAAACCACAGAAAACCTCCAGTGTCCCCTCTGCAAGGTCACCGTGAGTAAGAATACTTTCAGGCCCAACAAGCAGTTGGCTAGTCTTGCAGAGACAATCCGGTCTATGGATCCTGCTGAGTTCCAACCAGAAAAGGAAGAGACAAGATGTCTGAAACACAAGGAAAAGCTCCATTACTTCTGTGAGCGGGACGGGGAGTTCCTCTGTGTGGTGTGCCGTGACTCCAGGAGCCACAAGTCCCACAATGTCACCTTGATAGATGAGGCTGCCCAGAACTACAAGGTAGGCACCTGGCTCCTTCTCTATCCCCAGCCCAAGACAAGAAGAAGAATCAGAATAGTGCTTTGGAAGCAGGGGGAGATAACACAGTACAAGGCAAAAATTTGCTTGATCCCTGGGAAAGAAAGAGGTGACTGATAATAATGACATCAGTACCCTGGGCCATCTTCCCTGCCTCACTGAAATATCCTCTCCCCGCAGGTGCTGATCGAGACACAGATCCAGGATTTGGGCCAAAGGGACAAAGAAATAGTTGAAGAGAAAAAGCGGGGTGAAGGGGCAATCCAGGTGTTCAGGGTAAGAAACGTTCACCCCAAACACTTCTGAGGAAGTTGAGGCAGCTCTGTTGACACCCCTATCGTTCCTTATACACCAAGCCGGAACAAAGACCCACTGACACGGCGAGGGCCAGGGGGTGTGGTGCCTGATCTGTACTGACCTACCTGCCTGGGTGCTGCGCCTGTGAACCAGGAGGCCTCCTGCTCCCCCACCCACAGCAGGTGCCTGCATACGGGGTCACACAGCCCCCCTTTTCCCTAAAGCCTGATTGCACACTAAGAAAAGAGAGACTGTGAACGCCACCAAATGTCTCCGCCTGGTTTTGATGGCCTTTTTTTTTTTTAAGGTCGCTTTTATTATTTTTATTTTATTTTATTTACATGAGTAAAAGCCATGCGTGTGCAAGTACTGGCAGAAACCAGAGGAACTGGAATTACAGGCATTTGTGACCTGCTCTTCTTAGGTGCTGGGGACTGAATTCAGGTCCTCTGGAAGCATTCTTTAACCCCTGAGCCGTCTCTTCTGGTCCTGGTGGTTTGATTGGTTGGTTTTTTTGTACATTCATGGAAAATTTAGTATGAAGGTAGTTAAGCCTCTCTCTCTCTCTCTCCCTCCCTTCCCCTCCCTCCCCTCCCTCCCCTCCCTCCCTCCTCCCCCTCCATCTATCCCTCCCTCCCTCCTCCCCCTTCCTCCCTCTCCTCCTCTCCCCTCCCTCCCTCCCCACCTCCCTCCTTCCTTCCCTCCCTCTCCCTCCCCTCTTCCCCTCCCCTTCCTTCCTTCCTTCCCCTCTCTTTTTCTTTCCTTCTCTCTCTTTCTTTTGTCTGTTTGAGTTCTTCCTCCATTGACTTTTTTGGTTTTTTGTTTGTTTGTTTTTCAAGACAGGGTTTCTCTGTGGCTTTATTTTTAGATTTAATTTTATGTGAGCGAATGCTTTGCCTGCATGTATGTATGTATACCAATACCAAGCATGGAGATCAGAAGAGGGCATTGGATCCCTGGAATTGGAGTTAGGATGGTTGGGAGCTTCCATGTATGTTCTGGGAATTGACTCTTGAGTCCTTTGCAAGAACAATAAAGTCATTCACTGAGCCATATCTCCAGCTCCTACAAACAGTATCCTATGCAGCAGGAGCTAGAGGCTGTTGTATAGAAAAGGAGAGCCTTGACCTTCTGATCCTTTTGTCCTTCCCCCAGTACTCCAACTGCAGGGCTGTATCGCCATGTCCAGATCAGGCAGGGCTGAGGATGCATGCTAAAGCGCTCTATCAACTGTGTTTTCAATGGTGATGTAGTTTGTTTGTTGAGAGAGTGTCTCAAGTAGTCCAGGCTGGCTTCGGCTTCCTGAATCCCCTGTCAATACTTCCCCGAGTGCTAAGATTACATAGTTATTCATTCGGCTGATGTCCTTGACGGTAAAATGGGGGGGAAAATGTCACTGAGCCTAAATCTGTGAACACAGGAAGTGCTTTGATCTCCTTACCCCCTACCCCCCTTTCCTACAGGTATGCCCCAGCAAGCTGTTCTAAACTGTTCTCAGTATAATCTTAAAATATCCCCAAAGAGTGAACGGTGCCAGGTGGTGAATGCTTTTGATTCGCAGCAATTAGGGGGCAGAGGCAGGGGGATCTCTATGAATCTGAGGCCAAACTGTTGCACTTACTGAGTTCCAGGCTAGCCAGGGTTATATAGTGAGACTTTGCTTGTGATTGATTGATTGATTCATTCGTTGATTCATTGGTGGTTGATTTAAAAAGTGAATGATGGGCTTAAAGGAAGCTTGGCAGACCCTCTCTCATGCCCACCCCACCCCCCATCTCTGCATCCCTTCCCTTGTCTCCAGGCCCAGGTACATCTAGAGAAACTAAAGATCACTGAGGAATTCAAGCACCTGCACCAGATACTGGAAGAGGAAAAGAGATTCCTCCTGTCCAGGTTGGGCTGGCTGGAGTATGAGGGAGCCCAGCAGATAGAACAGTACACCACTACGACTAATGAGCAGTTGACTTCCCTCAGGAAGCTCACACAGTCCCTGAAAAACAGGCTAAAAATGTCACCCATGGAGCTAATGGAGGTGAGTACTTTGGGAAAAGACTCTCTCTCTCTGAAAGAGACTTGAGAACCTGTATTATACTGTGGCCTAACAGTTCCTAGTATCTGGTTCCTCCGTGACCCTTGTCCCCTCCACTCCCTGAAAGGGCATAAAAGTCCTTTCCTTGGGGATTTATTTCCCTGACGCTCCCACTGACCCCACGGTGGAATCCATGACCCTTATCTTCCCGACTTTAAGCGAGCACTTTTGATAGAGCTCCCCTCCAGGTTTTAAAGGGAAGCCTGTGGTTCCCCACAAGGCTCCATTCATATTGTCTCTGACATAATGTTCTGCTCCTCTCTAATGCCCTCCCCCCCCAAGGCCCAGTGTTTATTTACCACACCCATATCTGAAGTGTGGTTTCTTTAGTACTTTTTTATTGCCTTCCTGAACTAATCCACCAACTGCTACTCTTCTTCGCCTAACCCACAAATTCTCAATCTGTGGGTCTCGATCCCTCTGGGGGTGGGTGGGGGATCTACCGACCCTTTCACAGGGGCCACCTAAGACCATGGAAAACATCAGATATTTACATTCTAAGTCATAAGAGTATCAGATTTTCAGTTATGATGTAGCAATGAAAATAATTTTATGGTGGGATGGGGGTGGGGTTGGGGTGGGGTGGGGGAGGGGTGAGGGTGGAGGGCATGCATCACCGCAACATGAGGAACTGTATTAAAGGCTAGCAGCATCAGGAAGGTTGAGAACCAAAGCCCCTCCTGTAACTCAGGATGCTGAGGCAAGAGGATTGCTGCTAGTCCAAAGCTGACATGAGCAAAGATGAAGACACTGTCTCAAACAGCTGGGCACAGTGTCTCACACCTGTAATTCTAGCACTGCAGACATAGGAGGGTTCCCTGGATCACTGGAGTTCAAGGTCAGCCTGGACACACGGACACACACACACACACACAGAGGCACACACACAGAGATACACACACAGAGGCACACACATGTACACACACAAAAATGCATACACACACAGAGGCACACACACACATACACACACAAAAGAGCATACACACACACACACAGAGGCACACACACAGATACACACACAAAAGTGCATACACACACAGGCACACACACACATACATACACAAAAGTGCATACAAACAGGGGCACACACACATACACACACAAATGTGCATATACACACAGAGGCACACACATGTACACACACAAAAGTGCATACACACAGGGGCACACACACACAAAAGTGCATACACATAGGGGCACACACACATACACACACAAATGTGCATATACACACAGAGGCACACACATGTACACACACAAAAGTGCATACACACACAGAGGCACACACACATACACACACAAAAGTGTATACACACACACACACACACAGAGGCATGCATGAAAAAATGAAAAGAAAGAGAGTGCGTCGTTCTTTGAGACAGGATCTCATGCAGCCCAGGCAGCCTCGAGTGTGTTGTGTAGCCAAAGGTAACATTGAATTTCTGATCTTCCCCACCTCTGCCTTTCATATGCTGAGATTTAGACATGTGCGACTACACCCAGCTACAGTTTAGAACTGTGATGTAGGACACATGTGTTACTTAAAAGTGTATCTCAGACTCATTGTGCAAAGGCACTTGCCACCAACCCCCCAAGACCCACATGGTGGAAAAACAGGACCAATTCCCACAAGTTTTCCTCTGGCCTCCTCCTTTAACTCCAGCTCCAGCAAATCTGATGACTCTGGCCTTGTAGGGTACCAGCACTCACATTTACACACACAGACACACATATATACACAAATTAAAAAATAATAAAAATAGGGCTGGAGAGATGGCCCAGAGGTTAGGAGCACTGTCTGCTCTTCCAGAGGTCCTGAGTTCAATTCCCAGCACCCACACAGCGTCTCACAACCATCTGTAATGGAATCTGATGCCCTCCTCTGGTCTGCAGGCATACATGCAGGCAGAGCACTCATACATGAAAAAATATAGACAAATAAATAAAAATTAAAAATAATAAAATATTTTTCAACTTATTCTTAAAATTGATAAACCTTAAAAAAAGAAACACAGTAAAAAGAAGCATATTGCAAGCTACATTTCTAGTAGCTACATTTAAAAGGAAAAAAAGGATATAGAGGCACACCTTTAATCCCAGCACTTGGGTGGTAGAGGCAGGCAGTTATCTGTGAATTCAAGGTCAGGCTGGTCTACATACGGAATTCCAGGCCAAGCCAAAAAAAAAATCAAATAAAAGTAATTTTAATAAAAACACTCTAACAATTTATTTTAATTTGCTATTCTATATATAATCATTTCGGCCTCTTTAAATGCATTTATGAGCTATTCCATATTCTTTTATTTATTTATTTTGGTTTTTTGAGACAGGGTTTCTCTGTGGCTTTGGAGGCTGTCCTGGAACTCGCTCTGTAGACCAGGCTGGTCTCGAACTCATAGAGATCCACCTGCCTCTGCCTCCTGAGTGCTGGGATTAAAGGCGTGCCGTGCACCGCCACCTCCCGGCGTATTCCACATTCTTAAGTGGTTGTTTTTTAGTTCTGAGTCTTTGAACTCTAGCTATTTTGCGAATCTCAATTTAGTTGCTATATCATTTATTGCTGAGGTAAAATGTACTTAGTTGTACTAAACCAATAAAGTTGTATTTAACTGAAAGAGTATTTGCAATGCCTCAGTTTCTAAATTTAGATTTAAAATAGTAAAAATTAATTTGGGGGGGAGTAATGTGAGAGTGCACTCCCATCATCTCAGCTCTCAGAAGAATTGGTAGTTCAAGACTGTTCTTGGCTACACAGAGAATTCAAGCCAGCCTGAGATACGAGAAACTGACTCAGAAAAAACTGGCGGCGGCAGGGGGTGGGGTTGGGGGGGGAGAGCATAACAGGACGCCCAGGTACCAGGACCAACACATTGTTTTTTTTTTTTTTTCTTTGAAGAATCACCGTGGACAGCCACTCCATCTTAGTCCTGACACTGCCAAGTTGAGCTCCCTGGTTCCATATTAGAGGCAACATCCATCTCCCAAATGTCACTCTCTTCTCTCCTCACTCTGTTCCTCCTGAGGTTTAAACACTGTCCCAACTCTATCAGGAGCTTTGGGGAAAGCAGTTCAGAAAGGAATAGAGGAGAAAGAGAGAGAGAGAGAGAGAGAGAGAGAGAGAGAGAGAGAGAGAGAGAGAGAGAGACAGAGACAGAGACAGAGACAGAGACAGAGACAGAGACAGAGACAGAGACAGACAGACAGACAGAGACAGAGAAGAAAGAAAGGACAGAAAACTGGGGAGTCCTCACTCTGCCTCCAGCTGAGTCTGAGCCCCTTCTTGGTGCCCGTGACTCCGCGTAAGCTCTGATACTGTCCTCTCTTTCTCTTCCAGGGCATCAAAGACACCTTGAGCAGGTATGATGGGCATCCCAAGTTCACCGCGCTTTCTGGTTCACTTACACGAACAGCGTTCAACCTATATCCAAATGTGTCCACATCCCCCAGTAGCTCCGCTATTGAACTGTTTAGGCTGCGGATGGGCAAGACCCAGGTGGCCGCGGTAGCACAGTAGCTTTTTTGTTTAGTTTTCCACCAGATGCCCAGCTTTACAGCAGCCGCCCTTTTCTTTCCCAGCTTCCCCTGCACATTCCTCTTGATCAAGCGGGTAAATCCTGGGCGTCTGCCCCGCTACCCCTTTCCCTTCTCTCCTCTCTGCACCCCCCCCATCTTCATTTGCATATCTCTTCAGCTCTGTTCTCACTCAGCCCCGTGTTCCCATCCTGGCCTCCTGGCAGTCAGCTTCCCGGCTCCCTGGCTCCTCCCACTCTGCCTCCACCCCCTGCCCACCCTGTATCCCCTGAACTCGCCACTCAGATCAACATATCTTCGCAGGAGCGAGGAATTTAAGTTTCTCAACCCAACCCCAGTTCCCGCGAACCTAGAGAGAAAAACCAGAGAAGCAAAAGCAAGACATGTGGTCACCATAACAGGCCTGGAGGAATTCAAAGGTGAGGTGCAGCTGCTACTGCCTGTTCTTTCCATCACCCCAGACGCTGCCTGAACTCTCTGGTGCCAGCTCCCTGAGCCTGTCAGAAGCCAGGCTGAATGCTGGGTAATGTCAAGGCATCACTATCCAGAAATTTCTCCTGCTACAGTCCCAGAGCCAAAGCACCTCTGATCTCAGAATTTTTCCCTGTTTACTGGGTGGGAATCGGACTGGGTCCACTGGTGCTTTTTTTTTTTTTAGCTACTGAGGCCTCTCTCCAGCCCCCTTTTTCTTTCCTTTTGAGATACTGTGTAAATATCTTAGACTCTGGAACTCACGATGTACTGTGGACTAGCCCAAAAGTTGTCATCCTCTGTGTCAGCATCTTCCTGAGTGTCAGCACGGCCTGGTCTCTTATGTTTGCAAGGTGGCATCTAGAAAATTCGAAGTTTGGTGCCTTATGCTCGTGGCTCTTAATACCTTTGTTCCGGACTGTGCCGTACTGGACAACCACCTCAGGGAGACCCCAGGGCAGCTCTCCCTGTTTGCTGCCCTCTTGGTCCACTGAGACTATGAGGGAGACCCCAGTACCCCCCTCTCCCCGCATCAGCAAGCAGTGCCTCACTGTGTGTTCCTGGTTGCCTCCATCTCCTTCACTCTCTCCTCGTAGACAACCTGAAGAATGAGGGGAAGAAAGATAAAAGCATGTTCCTGGACAGCCTGAATAAGAAGGAAATAGAGAGATGTAAGTGTGTGCTTGACCCTGCTGTTTGGGGAAAGTGAAGAATACAAAATGGGAGGGATCTCTATTTGACGGGAGACGGAGGGAGGAGGGTCCAGTGTTCGTGAGCATCAACGAAGAGCAAACCTACAGAATGGTTTTAGATTACACGTGTAGTTAAATCAGAGTGACACCAGACTGAAGGTCAGGAAGGCAAAACACGCTAGAGAGTCCTTACTTCAACCAAGGCTTGGGGCCCAAAAGGGGGTGATCACGTCCTCAGCCTGACTGCAGACTGAATACGCTACACTCCTGTCTCCTCCTGCCTTATATCCCTCCCTAGTACTGGGATTAAAGGCATGGGATCACAAGTGCTGAGATCACCTCTGTGTGAGCTCTGTTTCTCTTTTAGACTGGTTCACTCTCTTGGTAGCCCAGGGTGGCCTTGAACTGACAGAGAGCCCTCTGCCTCCGCCTGCCGAGTGCTGGGATTAAAGGTGTGGCCACCCTGCCTGTCCTCTATGGCTAACTAGTGGCTTATCTTTGCACTCTGATCTTCAGGCAAGCATTATATGTTAGATTGCGAGCAATGTATCACCGCACAGCAATTGAGGAGTGGAGGAGACCCACTGAGACAGTATCCTCTAATGATGTTATCTGAGGTGACTCAGCTGTGAGGATAGCTAGGATAAGAGTCAGGTTCAGCCGCCCATCTCCGATGTGCCTTTTAGTTTGTAACCTCTTGTTATCAACCTAAAATTTGTTTTCTCTCTCCAATTCCTAGGGAAACTGTTACAGAGGAATAATTCAAGCTTGCACACCTCAGGTAGGATTCCTGCATGGCACACTGGTGTTTTGTTTTGTTTTTTGGTTTTTACGAGACAGGGTTTCTCTGTATTGTTTTGGAGGCTATCGGTCCAGCCCGGCCTCGAACTCACAGAGATCCGCCTGCCTCTGCCTCCTGAGGGCTGAGATTAAAGGCGTGCGCTACCACCGCCCGGCGGCACACTGGTCTTCCACGGGAAAGTCCTAGCCCCAAACAGGGGGTCCCTATTGTGCAGGTGTACCCTGCTGATTGGCCTATGTCCCTCCTACTGTCTCTGAAGCTCAACAGTACCTATTGCCCTACTGACCTCTCTTTTCTCCTTTCCTGTCCCTCAAATGGCAATGGATCAATAAAACTGGGGTCACCTAACGCCCAGTCCTATTCCATCACATTCTACTTTGAGGCCTCCTTTGTGGGGAAACAACCCCTTCAGCATTGCTCTGGAGCAAAGCTTGGCCCCTTACCCTATGCTCCCGGAGGAGGAGCGGGCTGTGAGCCCGGGGCTCTGTGCTCACTGACGACCTCTGGGTGACACGGAGTCAGCAGATTCCTTACTGAAGAGAGTTGGGGTCTGCTCTTCCCTGGCTGCTGGCCTTTCCTTTAGCTCCCCCTACCCTTAAAATTTGTTTCCCCTTCAAATTTTTCTTTTCTTGTTATTATTGTGTGCACACGCTTACACACAATGGAGGTGAGAGCCACGGAGTGGGGGTCAGAGGACTGATTAGTGACGATTGGTCTCTCCTTAACATGAGTTTTTTGTTTTGTTTTTGTTTTTACTGTGAGTTCTGGGTTTGGGCAGCAAGTATCTATATCTGAACCTGTCAAACTATCTCACCAAATCTTTTATTAGTTCTTTTTTCTTTCCCACTGGCTGGTGTGTGTGTGTGTGTGTGTGTGTGTGTGTGTGTGTGTGTGTGTGTGTGTGTACACATGACTATGTGTGGAAGTCAAAGGACAACTTGGGGAGTCAATCTCCTACCATGTGTGTTTCTGGATTGAAATCAGGTGTTGGGCTTAGGAGTCCAAGCCTCATCAGTTCAGTGACCACCTGGCCCCAGTTTTAGAAAGCCAGGCTGAACTTTGACCTCTCATAGTAGCTTCAATTGTTTGCCATATGAGAACCAGGAAATGGGGAAGTGAAGAAGACATGGCTTCATTGTTATAAGATCTAAGTTGTCCAGGGTGCTATGACCTTGGGCCGAGACCTCTTTCTGAAATGATTCCACCAACACAAGGACTAGGGGAGCTTCCCTCTGCACTCAGAGAATAGCAACTCATAAAACCAGGGGTTGAGTTTGAGGCCTGGAGAGTGGGGAGAGGTATTGGAGAGAGGGGTGTAGGGAGCATGGCCATGGTGGCCAACATCTATAATTCCAGCACTAGGGAGGTAAAGCCTGAAGGATGAGAAGTTGGAGGTCATCCTTAGCTACACAGTGAGTTTCAGCTCTGTGTGGGTTATACCAGACCTCTTCCCAGAAAACCAAAACAAACAGGCAGGAGTCTGAGGATATGGACTGGGATTTGAAAGAGAAATTCTCCTTCTGGCTGCAACACAAGAAGCTCAAAAGCAGGGTGCTGGAGGACTTGACCTGAAGCTTCTTTCTCTCTCCACAGTCCCTATGACCCTGGACACGGCCTCAGCTGATCAAAACCTCACCTTTTCTCAAGATCTGAAGAAAGCGACTTTGTACATGGTCCAAGACAGTTTGAATAAGCAGGGAAAACCTCCACCATTCTACCCTTTCTACTGTGTGCGGGGTTCCCCAAGGCTTTCCTCAGGCTGCGGGGTGTGGGAGGTAGAAATCCAGGGGCCCTCAAATAGGGTTGGCATGGTGGGCGTGGCCACAGAGTTGGCTCTGAGTGCCCAGAGTCAGAACTCTGGAGGGATCTGCTTGTGGGCACTTCGGATCTCGTCTTCTGGATGTCAGCCGTACACCAACTGCAAGATGGGGGAGACTATTCTCATCAGTCTTATGAAAGTGGGGGTCTACGTGGATTATAACCGTGGAGACATCGTCTTCTATGATGCCATCACTAACAAACACATCTACAGCTTCCAAACTACCTTTGACAGACAGGTCTTCCCCCTTTTTGGGCTCCAAGTTTCCTGTGCCAGTATCACCCTGAGCCCCTAGGGCTGCTCCCCTGTGGATCCCTCAGTCTCTTCCCCACCCATCTCTGGTGACTGAATGAGATGCAAGTGTCAGGAATGAAGTTTGGCCCTACTTGGACACCCCACATACCCTAAACATATCTCTTTCCCTGAGTAGAAAAGACGGGTGGAATACCCCAAATAACAAACACAAGGCTTTGTGCCTCTGCACTTTGTAAAAGGGCAGATTGGAAATAGTCAAATTTCAACAGGCCACTGGACAGCGTCTGGCCACACCCTGCTTGAGAGGCAGGTCCAAGGCGATGCCCAGCTCCCTAGCTGCCCCTTTCTCCACTTCACTACCTATAGCTCCTAACTCTGAGTTTGAGCACCTGACTGTCGTTCCTTTCTGGGTTCTGAGAACCAGAGGCTACGTGAAAAGTTAGACAGGCCTATGCCAATGCCAGTCTGTAGATGAGGACAATCTCCGATCAGGGCTGTAACCTTTTGACATTTCAAAGCAATGTTGTCACCCTCAATAACTCTGCATTCAAATTAAAAACAAAATTGTAAACCCCCGCCACCCGTGTTGATTTAAATTTCTAATTTTGTGTTAGTCCACTCCATAGCTATACTTGGCCTCTGTTGTCCCTCCAGCCTCAGACTGCTTACCACTGGAATAGATTAAGTGATAGGGGGAACTAAACATAGAGCACACTATATTCACGATTAGAATTTTAATTTTATATTTCCGTAGTGTGTGTGTGTGTATGTGTGTGTGTGTGTGTGTGCCCACATGCCATGGTCTCCCCAGAAGGGTAAGAGATGACTCTGGAGATAGAACTCAGCTCATAAGACTGGTGCAAGTGTCTTATGGATTGTGTGTGTGTGTGTGTGTGTGTGTGTGTGTGTGTGTGTGTACGCCCACATGTCATAGTCTCCCCAGAAGGGCAAGAGATGACTCTGGAGATAGAACTCAGCTCATTAGACTGGTGCAAGCGTCTTACGGATGAGTCATCTGGCTGGCTCCATTTTCCATCCTAAAAAGAAGAATATGCACAGACATGTTTGTTTGCTTGTTTTCCCGCAGAATTCACGTAGCCCACCCTGGCCTTGAACCATGTATGTAGCAGAGGTTGACCCTGAACTTCTGAACTTTCTTCTACCCACTAGGTGTCTAGGTAACAGGCCTGAGCACCCAAGGCTTCGGGATGCTAGACAAGAACTCTACCACCTTGAACTGCATTCAGTCCCATCTTTCTGAGTTTTCAATTTAAACTGGCAATTCTGAATGAATCCCAGTGATGTTCTCTCAGTCACAGGTAAACTGAGAACTGAGACTTTAGGCCATTAACAGTGTTGAGTTCTCTCTATTGACGGTTTGTTCCTTTCACTCTGACAGGTCTGGAATCATGGCCCTTGAAGGACATGAGAAGCTCTCAAGAGAGACACTCTTCTTCTTCTTCTTCTTCTTCTTCTTCTTCTTCTTCTTCTTCTTCTTCTTCTTCTTCTTCTTCTTCTTCTTCTTCTCTTCTTCCTCTTCTTCTTCTTCCTCCTCCTCCTCTTCCTCCTCCTCCTCTTCCTCCTCCTCCTCCTCTTCCTCCTCCTCTTCCTCCTCCTCTTCCTCTTCCTCTTCCTCTTCCTCTTCTTCTTCTTCTTCTTCTTCTTCTTCTTCTTCTTCTTCTTCTTCTTCTTCTTCTTCTTCTTCTTCTTCTTCTTCTTCTTCTTCTTCTTCTTCTCCTGCCGTTAGACTATTAAACAATGAACATCAATTAATTTGAAATTTTCCCAGGAGCTTCATCCTGTGGGAGGGAAAGGCTGAAGACTGAAGCCAGCCAGAGAAGGAATTTAACTTGCCCAGAGTGACACAGTTCTGAATCCTCCCTCACTGTTAGCATAGACACATCCCTGGCTTTGTTTCACTTGGGCTATGAAACTGTAAGAGTGCTTCACAGAATCTGGGGACTGGGAGTCTTTCCCTCTCTGACTTGGCCAAACTGAACAAAGCTACATTCCTTTGTTTCTTTTTAAGATACAGGGAAACTGGCTGAAGGGTTGGTTGACCTTGATTCCCAGAGTCCTGCTCCCTCTTGGTGTGTCCAAAGACAGCCCCAGGTTCAGAATACTACTCTCCTCCCTGAACTTGACCCCACACAGGGTCTGGTACCTTCTGGGCCCTTATTCCGTTGATGTCATCGTTGCGTGTATGTTCTGTGCATCCTTGGCTGTCACCTTGCTACCTGGGTTGCCCGTCTTTCTGCTCAGAATAGGCAGTATGAGTGAGTCCTCCACTGTGAGTGTTTTGGAAGCTGTCTCTGTGGGGACCATAGGAGGCCTGTCTCACATTGTGGGACTGGGCTTCACTCTTCCCTTTATGGAAGCTGGAAGCATTCCTCCCCCTACCACTATCACATCAGGCCATTTCTTTTCTAAATTACACTGGAAGTGTAATTCCCCAGGCCAAGAAATATCGGTGGGTAGGCAGCCCTGAAATAAGTCATGGGATGGAGAAAAACGAAGAGGCATAAGCTACCAAAGGTTTTGATGGCCGGGCGTTGGTGGAGCACGCCTTTAATCCCAGCACTCAGGAGGCAGAGGCAGGCGGATCTCTGTAAGTTCCAGGACAGCCTCCAAAACAATGCAGAGAATCCCTGTCTTGGAAAAAAACAAAACAAAACAAAACAAAACAAAAAGTTTTGTTTAGGGGAGCCAGCAGAGGCAGCAGGGCCAAAAAAGGAAAACGTATCTGAGAAATGTTAGGGCACAGAAATGGTGAGAAATTGTGGATGGAGACGCCTAGAATGAGTTGTATCTGCTCTGCAGTTACGTCCTTTGACTCCATCTTATAACTAGGCTGACAGACAACACCGGCTCTGGGGACCTGTCAGTCAACATGTAGCATACAATACTTAATCAAGAGGGAACTTAGATATTTTAGGACCAGGTTTCCGGGAAAAAAAAAGTGAGATGGTTCTTGGGACATGAAGAGCTAGCTACTAAGTTACTAAGTATGACGATTTCATTTAGTGAGGGGATGTAAGAAGCTGACCTCAGAAGCATGGTGTCTCAAACTTTTGTTCTCAGCACTTGCCAGGGAATTGGAGAAGGATAATCAGAAGCTCAAGGCCATCTTTGTCTTGTTTTTTTTTTTTTTCACTTTGAGACACGTTCTTGCTACATGGCATGGCTGTTTTGGCACATGCTATGTAGAACAGGTTAGCCTCAAATTCACAGAGATCTGCCTGACTCTGCCTCCTAAATTCTAGAATTAAAGCTATGGGCCACTACCCTGAGTAGACCATCCTTGTGTACATAGTGCACTGAAGAATGTCCTGTGTTTCACAAGACTATCGTGAAACAGCAATAATAAGCAACGAGTGAATGAAAATGGTGCAGAATGTGGTGTTATGTGCCTATAGCCCCAACATTCGGCAGATCAAGACAGGAGGATTTCCAAGAGTTTTAGGCCAGCCTGGGCTACATGAGACTCTGTCTCAAAAAAGAAGGGAAGGAGGAAGAGGAGGAAGAAAAAAGGAGGAAGAAGGAGCTTGGAAACTGAAGGAGAGAATAGAATGGCGATGGACAGGAGCTGGGGGAAAGGTGGGTATGGGAGGCATTAGTCACAGGCTGTAGGGGAGCTTCGTGCATTGCTGTGATCATAGTCTCTTGGGAACATGTGATTTCAAATGTTGTTGCCACAAAACAAAAGCCCAGTTAGTCTGACATGTATTGAGACAATTAGCAATTCACTATACTGATAAACAATCCTAGGAAACTTCTGGGAAGCAAACCTTATGGAACATTGTGTGTACTGTAAAAAAGAGAGGCATCGAGCCAGCCCTGGAGTCCCTGGACAGTGGGGAGCCACAGACACTCCTGAAGCTGAGTCCGCAGGACTGCAAGTTCAAGGTCGTCTGGGACAACTTACTGAATTAAAGTCTCAGCTAAAATTAAGTAGCTAGAACTTGAGCTGGAACTGAGCGGCTCAGCACTTGTCTCCAATGTTTGATTGCACTGGGGAGAGACAGGGAGAGATGAGAGAGAAGCACAGGGGAGGAGAGGAAGACGGGAGAGGAGGAGAGCAGAGTCCTGTCCAAGCCGTGCAACTCTCTGATTTGTGATAAGCACCGCACCGGACACACCTATGCCACAAAAGTATGACACTATGAACTTAAACACATCTTTGCTGCAGAATAACTTAGGAACTTTGGATCTCACCAAGGCCTAGAGAACATTCAAGAGTAATTATTAATTGCTCAGAACGATGTAGGTGAGGTTCAGAGTAGGCTCACTCTAACGTGGAAGCATGCAATAAATCCTGGTGAGGAACACCCACAGTCAAGCTCCTTGCCATGCACTAGAGCGTGTGTACACATGGTCAAACCATTTTATGAACTTTGGAAAATATACTCTGACCACAGCTAGGCTTGCTGGTGCCTTCCATTCTGGCTTTCCTCTGTCATGATTTCCCTAGTAAGGATTGGGGTTTCAGAGTTTAGGTTATGGAGAAATCTAAGAGGGCTTCTGAGGCTTAGGGTATTTTTTTTTTAAAGATACAGACGTCTTTATGGAGAAATGGCTTCCCGGGGACCTCTGCCTGCTGAAAACTCACCTAACACTAGGGATTCAAGTGCAAAGTCAGAGGCCCAGTTAGAATGATTCTGAGAGGAGTGCTAAAACAGAGCTACCCTTTCCACAGCTCCGAGCTTCTCTCGTTCCCTCGTTCCTGTCCCTTTCACCAACACCCCCCAATCTCCTCAGGCTCTGGGTCCTGGGAGGCAGCGCTCCTGGGCCCCTGAGAACTGGTCTCCTGGGTGAGCATGGTCTGCATATTAGGCGAGATCTGCCAGCTCACTCCCAGGCTATGCCATCTGCTGGTGGAGCTGTTATAAAGCTTCTGGGAGCTTGTCATCTCTGGCTCCTGATGCCAGCTGCTCACTGAGACACCCACCCCCAGGAGAACCCGTGGGTCTGTGCAGGGAATGTACGCGTCTATATGAATCATGAACATAGGGAGATAAGCTTCTGTGGTGCTACCTCTTTTACTGAGTAGATCTCCCCATTACTTGGGTTTCTTACCCTGATTCTCAGAACACCTTGAGCCCTTATAACTGTCCCTCTGCAATTACCTCTGTTCTTCTTTTGCCTCTGATCCATAGCACTGGAATGGTGGTAAGGTTAAAGCTTGGCCCGGGTTACACCTGACACAACCCCAAGATTTCTTATCCTCCAATGTCTGACCCTAGAAGGAAGGTTTTATTTCTCCAAAGTCTAAACTCATGCTTATTCACCAGGGCACCGTGTGACAGGACAGTTGGAAGCAGCCAAACCTCATCAACAGACCATAAGAGAAGTTACCATCTGAAAGTGTCCACCTACACCCTCTTGAGAAACAGGTTCAGGGGCTGCCTTAAACACCTGGGCTGCCCTTTCTTCTCTTCCCTAAAACCTTCATCATTAGAAATTCAAATCGAGGCCGGGCAATGGTGGCACACGCCTTTAATCCCAGCACTCGGAGGGCAGAGGCAGGTGGATCTCTGTGAGTTCCAGACCAGCCTGGTCTACAAGAGCTAGTTCCA